TTTAAACAGTTATGATTGGTTTGGCGATGTAGATTAGATAGCTTGCACGTCAGGTGCTCTTTGCAATCGTTTGTGCCAAAATGGTGACGTCAGCCAAAAAACATAACCAGATGAAGCTAATCTCCCAGACACACACCAGTCTGGAGCAAACGAAGGCAAAGAGCACCTGACGTGCAAGCTATCTAATCTACATCGCCAAACCAATCATAACTGTTTAAATCACAAGTCAGTTTTAAAATAGTAAATGAACGGACGAGAAAAGCACACAGAAAGACGACTATGCGTTTGCTTCTACCTTTGCGTAATCGACTGAACGCGAAGTTATAGCCGGAAATGGGACGTACTGCACCGTCGCCGGGATACTTCTCGATACTGTCAATGAGGCGATCCAAAGAGTTCCCGTCGATGTCGCCGGTATCGTCAAGCTGTTTCGGATGGGTAACAATGTCTGAAATCACGACACGAACACACTAAGCTAAGCGAAAGCCAAGGGTCAGCGACGATCAACAATACTAGTAAAGTGAGAGAAGATTGATGTCAGAGGAGAGTTAATAAGAAGTGTTACTCTTTATGGGGGTAGGGTGTATGAAAGGTGTTCAGAAATAACCCGCAAAAATACATTCAGGTTTAAACTTAGCGAAACTCACATTCGATAATATGTCTGCCCGAGAGATCAGATAGAGGGCGCGGCTTTTGTACTGTAACGATAATCAGAAACGCTCCCCGGGGCACGACCAGCCATTGGGGAAAATTTCAACCCTTCTCCCCCCCCCCCCGAAGTTCCCCCTCCAATAACACCCCCATCGCATTCCCACCCTACCTACCATCTCCCAGCAGTGAGGCGGACGGGAGTAGAGATACCGCACGTGAGATGGGAAAATTTAATGACTGATATCATTCTCCAGAAGCAAATGCTTTCTCTATCTTCCCCAATGGCTGGCGCTCCCCAGGGCACGCCTGTCATTGGAGAAGAGCTCATCCCTCCTCTCCCTCAGAAGTTCCTTCTCTAATAACATCCCCTTCTCATTACCCACGATCAAATTCGCTCCCCTTGCTAGGGATACCGAACGTACGACATGCCCTGATACCTCTAGGAAAAGACGTCTGTTGTAGGGAAGAAAGACACTGACAACGTTGAAGTTGCAGTTTTCCACCAAGAGATCGGTTGAAATGGTTGAGCGTGAGAGTCATGAGTGTATCCGTGCCTCCGAGAGTTAAAAAAAGAAAGCGGAACTAACTTGGTAGAAATACCCATTTAGCGGCAAATGGGAGTTGCTGTACAGCCCAGGACAGCCCATCGTCTTGCACAATGAGTACCTCTTCGTTCCACGGGAGAAAGGAACTTTTCATTCTGTCGCAAAGAATGAGGGGAGAGTCGTCTTGAGGGAAAGCTCTCCACTTCTCCATGAAGTACCCGGCAGTCCAGGGCCTTGCATTGAAAGCTTTACACCTGATTAGTGCTTAAGGTGGTCGACGTAAGGGTCGTCACCACGCTCACCAGTTCGTGACGTCTTTCCATAGTCTGGTCCGCGGTCCTCTCAGACTGCCCTACTTTCGCGCCTTTTGAGTAAGTAACGATGGTGCTGCGGCCCTTACGACTGGCAGTTCTGACTCTCCCTAGCTGTGCCCACCGAAACTCGCACGCAACTTTCTGCGACGAGTTCACTTTTTATTGCGCGTTTTTTTTTTCAAAGCTGGATGTTATTAGCCCTAAGCCGGAAGAAACATTTGTGAGCCAGAGGTGGCAGGTTGTCGCTTCGCTGGCATAAAGCGAGCAGGTCCGGAGAACTAATATAGAGAGAGTGTTAGGGTCCTTACTTAGGGTGTTCTCCATCACTTTTTGCATTTCTCTTCTTTGGAGAATGACATAGACATATTGTAAGACTATTTGTAGCTGAATGTCACAATCTACTAAATGCAGCAGCGAGGCCTTTCCTCAGATACTTTTCTTTAATTTTTTAGCTGTTAAGGGGGTGTCGAAGAGAAATCCACGGTCAGAAAATCCCGAAAAAAATTAGAAGGTCACTGAAGCGATTGTTCGGCGCACATGCCATGACTCTAAGAGTCCATGCACTTTGAAACAGATGCGTGAAATTGTTCAAGACCACACACAGACTTCAAGCTTTTAGTGATATCCAAGATCAATCTGCTAAACCAACAGACTCATAATGTGTAGATTCCACTCACGTGATGCAACAAGTGGAGCTGAAGCGGAAAGAGCAGCTAAATAGATGGAATCTTCAGAATTCATAAAGGTGACAAAGGGAACGCAAACGTCGATGGCGAAGGAAGTAACGAATATCAGCGCCATAAGGTTCACATAAAACAGAGGGCAGACGGAATTATGGAGCCTTATGGAGCTCATTTCAATGCAAACAACCTACACAGACCCCACAGGAAATTCGGGGTAATGCTACTTACCGAAAAATAGTGCCAAGTTCCCATGAATCTCTAAACTGACAAATAGTAAATGTTTAGAAAGGGTATGCAATAGTGGCTACAAATATGAACCAAAATTGCTGCTTGATTCTCCCAAGCAAGTTCTGAGAGTGAAAGGTAAGAGTAGCCAAATTTGTTGAAAACTTGTCCACAGGAGGCATGCAGAGTGTGCAAAACGTGTTTCCATGCTGAACCGACGTTGTGTTCCCGGTCAGAGGGTGAAGCTAGTCACGTGAAGAATTTCCAGTCATATTGATGGGGTTTTGTGAGACCATGACGGCATTGCACCATAGCAAACTATGACCGCTCATAACTCGCTCGCAAAATGCAGGCAATTTCGGTTCCCACAGATGTAGCCCGGGTCTAGGTTTAATGGACACGGTACAATTACTGAATTCAATGAGCTAAAGTGGAAAATGATCCTGAACTTACCCATGCAGGTTTTCTCATCTTTCCCTAGCACATAGCCTCCGAAGCATTCACAGTGTCGACCACCTTCGTCGTTGCGACACAGCTGACTACATCCTCCATTATTCACAAGGCACTCGTTCACATCTGAAAGGACAGTAGTTGATTTTTGATGTAGACAGTTCTTCATTTCTGAAGAATGAGCCCTTAGACTATCACTTCTTCAAGCACTCTGACATCTTCCTTTGGAGGAGGTACTTGGGATAGCGACTACCTTCGCCGATTTCTCCCATACTAGATCATTAGAATTTTTAGTAGAAGCAATAGGTTCAGTCGTTTCCCCTTGACACCCTTCACAATTTCGCCCTACATTTTATGCTTATTCTTGAAGGCATATGGCACTACAGTCGGCCTAAAGTGCACTCGTTTTCTACCACTTTTTGTCGCATGCGCGCTTCAACAAGAAGGCAGAGAACGGCTTTGACGGGGTGACACACTCATACTGCCTGACACGCCCAACCGTCCGCAGCGAACTAGAGTATACTCCATGCAGCACCGTGGCCGATTTCAGCTCTATAGGGCCTTATAGGAGTACCTTCTTCGGAAAGGGCGCTACGCAGCGCCTGCTGAGAAACGCGGACAGTTTATTTTGCGCTCAACTGAAGAGTTTTTCGTTCCGGAAAAGGCTCTGCAAGATAAATCTGAAACAAGAATTTTGTTCATTTCACATACCGTAACACGAATGACCGTCTTCAGCCAGACCATATCCTTCTTCGCAAGAGCATTTGTAGCCGCCTGGCATATTAGTGCATGAATGTTGACAGCCACCATTGTTCAATACACATTCATTGATGTCTGCAAACGGAAAAGCTGATCATTGGCAAAATTACAAGAACACGAGACAGGATCTGTGAAACATGAGGGGAGTAGCACGTACAGAAATGCTCTCGATTGCTGGTTTTGCTGTCGGGGGCGCACAACGCAACCCCTTAGTAAGCAACGGAGCGGCAAAAATACTAGTAATGAGTAATGATAGTTAGGTCAGGGCCTCCCCTGCATCCCTTCCGACGGCAGTTCTCCAGGAAAAGCTGTGAGCGGAGGTTGGGCACGGATCATACCAGAGAAAAATATTCAGGGAAGGGAACATAATCAAATTTTTTCTACGACGTGATGATGTGGCTTGGCATAAAAGGTACATAGAGTCAAAAGCTCAAGCACTTCAATACCGACTGTTTTAGAGTTGCGTCTTGGTTTGTTAACCGCTGTTCAGCGCACAAAAAATCGAAAGTTCCACAAGAACGTTGACTTATGAACAAAAGTCAGACTGCAGACGGGACTCGAACCCTCCCGCCCATGTCCTGCTCACCGGGCGGTTACCTTATCTATAATACCGAGGAAGCTCTGACCCTCTCAGCTCACCGGCTTTTTATGCCATTGCCTTCCAGCACTCACACTCTCATTTTTGCTCATAACTCAGCACTGTGATAACCAACCGTTTTATTTAAAAACAAACTGTGTATTCATTTACGATGATCCTGATCCTTACAATGTGCGAACAGAACAGTTTGGCGGCTACAGGAATAAGAGGCTTTCGTCACCTCATACCGCGAGGAAAACAGGCTGCAGGGCAAAGATAGCTCATTATATTTTAGAACTCTGCCTCCGCTCCCCCATGACCAGTCACACGCGCTATTTGTAGGTGCTCTCACATCAGCTTGTTCCCAACCTTCGATTGTGTTCGCTCGATATCAACGCTGGTGCTGAGCCATGAATATAGCGCGGGGGCAGTCCAGAACAGCAACTAGCTATCACTACTGTTCAGCTTCAATCCCGAATTCGGTATCGAGGACCATGATGATAGCATGCGGGGTCCAAAACAACATCGAGCTACCACTACCCATGAGCTTCATTCCCGCTATCTTTCAAGTGACAGAACTTGTAATCTGTAAATCACACTTGTAAATCTGCTAACCCTACTACAGCACATGGTAAGGACCGTTCTCGGATATGAGTGTGCAGCTCCTCTTCAGTCCACCCGTCACACAAGGTTTGGTATGCTGCTGCAATGGTTCTGCTCAGTAGACGTAAAAAAGCCTGTCTCGGAAGAATTCAGAACAGCGTCATTGCTAAGGGTTCACTTTTTTTTGGGCCAAAAGTCTCCGTTTCATGAGTTTCACAAACCTTCACAAGTTCGTCCATCGTACGTCATGATATAGCCAGTTTTGCACTGACATTCATAAGAACCGGGAAGATTCACACACAGTTGTGAGCAACCTCCATTTCCTACGGAGCATTCATTGATATCTGAAATTACTGCAGCATAGAATCAATAGTGTTTGTTCTTCCAAAATTACACACAATACTACTAACACCATAGTGAGCAAGTGAACTACTCTACTACTCTACTACTCAACTCTACAGTATGACTAACGTGATGTGAAGGGTAGGAAGATGTGCCAACCAACGCTGTGCAAAAGGATAAGGAACAAGGCCTTAGGTCAGTGACATGTTCATCTAGGCATCCACTAGATCTACGGCGGTAACCCGGTGTGCTAACCCTGGCATGAATGCCTATCGATTTCGTTGAGCAGGAAACCGGCGTTGCAATAACATTGAATTTCATTGGAGCGATAGTCCATACAGAGACGATGACATGAGCCTTGATTCAGAAGGCACGATGAGTCTTCGTAACCATCCGACAGATAGTATGAGGACTGCCATCGATGCAGTGGAAAAATTTCTGAACCGATTCAATGGTTGATTGTAGACCGCACGATAAACTGAGTGTTAAAAACACGCTCTGTGAGTGGCGGATGGGCAGGAAATGGCTGGAGACTGATAATTACTGTACCTTTCTCGAAGGTCGGCCTCTCAGTCTGATACAGTAGGGAGAAGCACACCCCCGAAGAGACCTAGTTCTCCCTAATTTCTCTACCCATCGGATGTGTCTTTGATGAAAGTCGTGAGAAAATTAGTAGCTTTCAGTAGCGAAAAAGCAGAATAAACTGACTGAAAAAGCGGTCTTTTCCTGCGAAAAACCTTGACAGTGTTTGGGACAGTCCCATAACCAAGGACTGTCCCAAATACTGTCGCGTGAACGAGGACCGTAGTGAGATTTTCATCTTGTGACATTTCACGAGAAAACTAAATGGCATTGTAACACCCTCAGCTAACTTTTCGTGCGAAGCTAGAGCGCTGGCATTTGACTCTTGATCCTGACATTGGTCTTCCTGTTGAAAGATTTCCACAACGAGAGGAATGAATTTCTCGAGGATCTGATGGAACTATAGCGCACTATTTACAAACTCAGTTTATCGTGCGCGCTGGCCCAAAGGCCCATCTCTGATCATATGGCGGAGATATGCACTTGGACCACTGCGCATGCCATGTTGGTACGGGCCCCTTCTTTGCCGCGGCAGAAAGACGAGTGTAAGAACGAGAAGGTGCAGTGGTCCAAGCGGCTCTGCACATATTATCAGCGTGGTTTGTGTCTTCAAGTGTACAATGTGCTGCATGAGACGGTAATGATAAATGGTTAAACCTGCATCCATAGCTGTGGTGCCGTTTGAGGATCCTAAAACTTCGAGACTCAGAACAAAAATTGATGTTCCCCGTCGTCCATATTGGAGGAGGAGTGCCCACGGACTTAGCCACGAACAGAACAAGGGATAGTAGACATCCGCCTGTTGAGGCAGGGATGCGTATAAGAGAGAGCGTGGAGTTACGGGAAACTGCTATGCGCATCTAGCATTTGTTCCTGAACCACGGTCGCGCTCATAGCTGATTCCGTGGACACTCCCCTTCGAACGCCAAGGGAGACTGTAGTAGGAGCAATACGCATACACGCAACACGCAGGGCTGTTTCAGTGGCTGGGTATAGCGCGACCCCAAACCTGTTTCTCAGTAATTGTTGAAGCGGGTGAGCGACAATGATTGGTAGAAAACGACTGATACGAGCTATAAGATACAGCCTTGTTGCTACCTCGCTTCAACAACTGGCTGAAAATAAGTTTGGCGCCGCGCCAAACCCTTCTGACCTGACACTCCCCATCAGGAATGAACAGAACTGTAAGAAGTTTGACTATACCCCACTTAGAAGAAAAAGAATTCCACAAACTTCCACACTTTAGTGTCTAAAAGCACAGGTGTCAAGAAAGGCTGCGTTTAAGGCAGCCCAATCAGCTTTTATGCGAAAGTGGTCCTTGTATTGAAGCATGATGGCTTTTGCTTAGAGTGTTCAAAGTGTTCTTAGAATAGGCATGAAGAAACAGGCAGAAACTCGTAATAAAATTTATTTTTCAATGTAGTCCCCATAACCTAAATACAATTGTTCGCTCGGGAAACCAACTTTTCAGAAGCCTGCAGGAATATTTTCCCTCCTTGTTCAAAATGTGCGTTAATTGCTGCCTTCAGGTCTCCGTCATCAGAAGAAAAACGCTCTCCACGAAGATTTCCTCTTAAGTTGGGAAGAAGGAAAAAAAATCACGAATCACTCCTCAATTTACTTTTCATTTTTTCAATGTCCTTTTCATTTGTCTCAATTCTTTTAATCAGTAGTCAGTAATAAATGAAATTTGTACCTATACCCTCAGAGATTGTCGTTACCTATTGAAATGACTCAAATTCCTTCGTCACTGCTAAATTACCCCGATACCGAGACTACGTTGAACGGTCCTTGTACTTACTATGTACACGTTTATTATGAATAAGTAATGAACTTTTAAAAAGCACGTTAAGAATCTTCAAAGTTTGAGCGCTTCTAAAGTTTATACGTCTCCCTCATATCTGTATCCTTTTACTATAATCTTTTGAATCTTCTAACCGCATTCCTTTCACTACAATCGATGATAAATTTAGAAGTTGCTGCAAAATCCATTTGGCAGTACCTTCTAAACTTCTGAGAGGTATTGATACAATTTGCGGAAAACAAGTACTTCAAGGTAAACATACCAATGCAACTTTTTCCATCGGCACCTAGATCGTAACCGTCACGACACTTGCACACATGGCTACCGTCCGGTTGATCGTAGCAGTCATGCTGACAGCCACCATTAGCAATTTGACATCCAGTCAATCGTTCGTCACAAGAGCGACCGTCGTCGGCGAGAGTGAAACCGGGACGGCAGCGACACCTAAAAATTCGGCATGATTTTGTGGAATTGGTTCATAACCTATAATAGTACAGTATAATTATCACAGCGTAACGGACATGGTATGGTGAAAGACAAATTTCGTCTTCAACTAGGACCATTACCGATTGCACAATTTGGTTGGGATCTATCGGTGCCAGACATTCGGGAAGATAAATACACTGAGTTGCACATCGGTCTGTCTCAGCAAGGAGTGCATGGTGCAACCCAAAAACTACCGGTCGCCGCTGTTCTTCTTCTATTTTGTAATAAGAGCTCAACAAAGGTACTGGCACAGCTCGCGAGAGCTTGATCAGAGATCAGCGAATGTTGTGACTATCAAACGACAATACTTTGCGTAAGCGCTTGGTAGCATATTGGCTAAAAGACCTACGGAGTGGTTCAAAAAACCCAAGTTGAATGCTGTTTCATGGTTCATTTTCAATCATGAACACGCTTTGGAATTCCGATTTTGTGAGAGTTGTTCAGATAATGCATTTTGAAATCCCTCTATTGCCTGAAACAGTACCTGTATGATCCATATGTGTTGACGCACTCGTGCTGACATCCACCACCATGTTGCACTTTGCACTCGTCGATATCTAAGCAATTCCGTTAATACAGCTGTTGTTAGGGAAAAGTAAATTTTTTTCCAAATATCCACCCGCCGCCAACGGACACTTAGGCAACACTCGTTCCCGTTTGGGATAAATGCAATATGAATGCGATAAATGCAGCATCCTGCTATATATAATCCGCCAACCAGGAAAGGTCAACAGGTCAGCCTGGCCTTTCCCAATGAGCTGCACACCGTGAACTCAAATCTACCTTCAGAATTTGCGGAACGATTCTCTGAACGGAGTTATAGGAGGGTCTTATCCCCGCGTGATCGTTTCACATGCTATCGCGAGGAGAGGTGGAGCTGAAACGTGTTTGTAGAGCGCAACGGGTAGGGAGCGGGTTTCTTAGGCGAGACGTCGTAGGATCGGTTCCGGGGCAGGTCCTTTTTTGCATTTGTCCAAGAACATAGCCGACAAAGCTTCTAACATCTCTGCTCGCCTGCACTACCCTATAAGGGAACCTGCGATCAGTTTTTTTTTGAAAGTGTAGACCCATTGTGGCCTGAAAGCTTGGCTTGTACCCCTCGTAACACGTGTCACAAGGGTTTTTGCAATGAAATACCATCATATTCATGTTCAGCGGGTTAAATTACCCCTGGGGACAAGTTTCTAGCCGAATCTGATTTTTCGACCTCACTTGGAAAATGTGGATTCCATGGGTAATTAGCAGCAGATTGGAGCTCACCTACCATCGATGACTGGTCTCGGGATGGAATTCCTACCGGTAATCAGAAAAATGATGCAGACGGCACAAATAAGTAAGCCAGGTACTGTTGTTTGCGAAAAGACATGACTGAAGAGTTATTTCAGTTCGAAGACCAGTCATCACCAGTATGCTAGTCATAGTATCGCTGTTAGCCATGACTATCCATACCCCATTTTTTCGAAGTTGAGTCAGAACCTCAGATTTCGCTAAGGTGACGTCCCTAGGGGTTATTTAACCACCTGAACACGAATGTAATACCTGTTTTGCGCAAAGAGCGCTGTGGTCGCGCGAACATGTGCCAACGCTTCGGCGCCAGCGCGCCCGTAAGAAGAAAAACAGTAAAGAAAAACCTCCATAACTCCGCTCAGAGAATCGTTCTGCAAATTTCGAAGACAGTTTTGGGTTCACCGTTTCAAGGCGGGTACAATGCGTGCATTATCATTGCAAATGGCCAGGCTGACCTGTTCGCCCTTCCTGGTAAGTTCTTCTATTAAATGCGTGTGTCTATGTTTGTTGTGCTTATAATTGTGTTTGACTGAAAAATCATTAACTTCTTTTGTTCTCAGTCGCAAGTACTTCAGAATTACGAGGTGATGTAGGAGGTGGACAGATAAACTATCTCTGCGGTGCACGAGATCGATAAAACTGAAAGACAGATTACCATAAAAGCTTATAAGCGAGAGATCTCCAACCTCATATATTGGGCCACAGCAAGATGGGACATTTTTCCTAACGTGATGGTAGGAGTTGGGAACAACATTTGGTTGCGGTGGCAGAGATCATGAACAGCTGATAAAATACCATAAAAGCGTTTAGTAAGGGCGCAGATGCGGCAACTTTCAATATCTTGCGCACAGCAACGATTGGACATTTTTTCCAATAGGTGATATGCCCTATATGTTATGAGCGTAAGATTTGAACATTATTGGTGGGTGGCAGGGAGTGATAAAAGTGATAAGATACCATAAAAGGCGTAGAATGGGTAGGTCACCAAATTCATATCCCGGGCCACAGCAACGATGGGTCGCTGGTGATATAAGAGGGGGACAGGAACACTGATGGGTGGGAGGAGGTGATAAAAACTGATAAGATATTATAAAAGGCATTAGAAGGGTTGGGTCACAATTGATATCTTGGGCCACACCAGCGATGGGACGTTGGTTTCAATAGGTGATGTAGGTAGGTTGGGATAAACATTGGTTGGTGGCAGGAAATGATGACAGCTGATAAGATACCATAAAAGCGTCAGAAAAGAATCTGTCTTCAAAGATGTATCCCAGTCAGCGAATGCATAAGAGCCACGACGGCGTGATACAGTGGAAATGCCTTCATCACTTTCAACGATAAGGATATGAATAGCCGAACTGGTGAATGAAACATTTTCTTGAGCGGACCCCAAGCTTTTCAGAAGGATATCAATAAGGAACGCATTGCATATGTATAGGTGGTGGCCGTTTTTGACGGTGGTCTTCTCGAAGAGTTTTACCCAGTGCATGTTGAGGTCCACACTCAAAAGGTGTACAACGCACTTCTTTGGAAGAACTTGCATTCCGGTAGCAAGGACTCACGTATATGAGGCACCTGTTCTAGCGCAAAACTAGAGTTCGGATTTTGGTACATCGAAAGGTCCTGCGTAAGATTTTTTTACATATAAAGTTCTGTGCATAAAAGTTCAGCTAATTGGCATACTACAGGACCGCACGGCCACATCAAATAAGTCACAGTTCTGCGTTGAACGCTGCCGCTGTGCGGCCTCTCTTCCAACGCCTTTTTCTACGCTTCGCCACAACATATGCACTGTCGACTACGACCGTAAGATATTAGACTCAGCACTGGGGAGCGAAACGTGGCGATAGTCTTTGGCCCTGCTCGGCGACGGGAGGGGGCAATTCGCTCTTTTGCACTTTCTCTCATCGACTGTGCCGCTGTCGACACATAGATAGCCTTTTCTTGAGTTGACAGGTTTTACCATGATGGCTTGTCGACCTTGCTCCAGCTTCACAAGTGCTCACAGGTCTCACCAGAGTGAGATTTGTAACTCGGAACTAGGCCGAAGGCATGCCTTTTGTGCCAATTCCCATATACAGACGCCCTACTAGCATTGTAGTACTTTAGAAACCATCGTGCCAACTGCCTTTAACACGAACTTATGAAGGATATCACTTAAAGACAGCTCCCGCGATAAAAGTCTCATGGATAGCTGCTTTCCAATTATGAAACAGCAGCTGATAAGTAATCTCCCAAAGAAGAAAACAGGCAAGAAGCGTTCTCCAAAACAACAAACAAAATCGCTCCCTCACATTAACACCTCCCTGCGGTCTCTGTTCAGCCCTAAGCTCACAAATCTCTCTATCATATCTCGCAGTAGTTGATATCATCTACAACAAAAACGTAAAGAAAAAACTCTGGGAAGGAAAAAGGAATTTTATCAACACGGTGTCTGAATTTGTGATTACGGTAGCGCACCTTTTGTCGTGTTTGCATCACGAAAATTGCGTCACTCGTGTTTTTACGCGTTTCACCTCGCGAAATGAGGTTGAATTGAATGTATATACCTCCAATGAGTAAACTGTAATGAAGGAGCAGCAAAATTATCCAGGGCATTAGCGCCCGCCGCCCCAACTAAGAACAAGTAAGTGGCCTCCATCGGAGGACATCTAGCAAGTAAAGGCGGTCGACTGAGTTAGAACTAGCACTTTGAGCGGCTATAGCAGCCTCCACGCTCACAATAGAGTCGCGAAAGGTGAACAGTCTTCTAGCTTGGAGGCTAGACTACTTGCACAGCAAAGGCGACCACGAGCCACTTTGATCGCGGGGGCTGTCTTATAACAAATATGAATCAAGGATCTGATTTACCAGTTAGAAACATCTTCAAATTATAAAGTTTTGAAGCTGCCTGACCAACACAAGTCTTCCGTTCGTCTAGCCCAGGCGCATACCAGCGAAGCCACTGACAACGAGGCCTCGTCCGCTATCGTCCGTTTTCATTCACACAGTGATGCTGACAGCCGCCTTTCTTCTCCAAGCATGGATCGATCGCTGAAAAATTGAAATTAAAGGCTATCAACCTTTTCTGCTAAGATGTTCGTGCTATGTGTAATGTGCTCGTCCCAAGGATGAAACAGTGCTCTTTAAAGTTTCATTCTCTCTACTCTCAGGGACAGGAATCTTTTTCCTTCAGTGATCGCTGTTTTATTGCAACAAGGGCATCTCGCAACGGAAATTTAACCGTCCAATTAGGCCCTTTATTCTGACCCTGGCCGTCCTGATTTTACCGAATGCGGCAAACCGTTGAAGGCAACTGGCAGTATGAATCCCCAACACGTGTTTGATTAGTACGCTTAGGAGGACAGAATTGGACGTCTCAGACGCCGTGGCGCCTTCTCCAAGGAAGAAGGCGCCACGGCGTCTGAGGAAGATACCCCTATAGCGCCCATCAAGTAATGCCCACCGCGGCCCACCTCCCACAAAGACGACCGAAGCTAATGTTCGTATCGTTTTCGAGGTACAATATGCAGCGAAGGAATGAAGCAACTGCGGTGATGTATGGATATATGAGTACATACTTCACGCAGCCGCCATCGAAGCGGTGATTGGCACCATCGAAAGGGAAATGACCAGAAGTGCCTTTCTGGTCGAGAAGAACATAGGCTTTTTTGCAGGTTTTCGACCGTTTAGCTCGATTTTTCGCCATTTTCCACTACATAGCACCCCTGTACCGTTTTAGACCGACTACCAAGTATCATGGCTTAGGCCTTCGAGCACCCAAAAGGGGTTGACTGTCCATTCGTAGAGTTCGATTTTCTCTGCAGCAAGCGTGATCCCGCTGAAGCAGGAACTGTTATTCAAAGATGAAACGACAAAGACGCCTTTTCACGAGCCAAGCTCACTTCGTTAGGCAGTGACAAATTAGAGTGCGCTGTTTGCGAAATGGGCGATTCAGTCGCTCTTAGAGCACAGCTGCGGAGCCTCAACTATTCTCCTACTTTTGGTGCCGTGGTTTTTTTTATATATTTGCTAAACGCATAGAACGCAGAAGTTCCAGCGTTCCTCCAAACAGCGAGCTCTCGAGAGTTACTTGTACATAAGTCATCCCACGTTTACAGACTCAAATCAAACTAGCCGATTGGCTCAGGTCATTGACTCTCCGATAGCCCTCCTTACCTACGCCTAATGCAACATTTCTTTGCGATTTTCGCAAGACATGGTTTTTACCTCGACAGTAGTTGAACCATTGGTCTTCAAAGGGAGGGCAAACATGAACCTTTACGTTCAACTTCCAGACC